GGTTTGTTATCGTCCATAAATAAGTCATTTCCTCTTGGAGATTTCGACCGCCTCCGTGGTCTTGTGGTAGAGCGTCCGCCTGGAGAGCGGAAAGTCCAGGGTTCGATCCCGGGCCGCGTCATACAAAAAGACGTTAAAATATTGTACTTGTTGTTACCCTGTCTGGCGCTCGGCATTAAGGGGCTAAAACAAGGACTGGTCGGCTCGGAGTCAGTATACTGTGTCTGAGTTGGGTATTCATGTTAAACTGCGGCATGGTATCTCAGTGAGCCAGCACTATAAATCGGCATCAATCCGGACTAGTACAAGCAGCCACACACACACATACACGTGCATGCACGTCGCTGTATAAGTGCAATAATCTTGGACGCGACGTTAAACCCAATTTCACCTCACCTCTTGGAGATTCCGGGTTAGAATTGGTCTCCAGTAACCTTCGCCTGTCGTAAGTGGCGACTAAATGGATCGATGGCTGGGCACGGTGACTTGGTTGATTGCGTGATATTGTACCCTACGGCGTGGGTCATCGCTGATATTTTGGTTGGTTGGTTGTTGTTTAACGCCGCACTCAGCAATATATGAGCTATATGACGGCGGTCTGTAAATAATCGAGTCTGGACCAGACAATCCAGTGATTAATATCATGAGTATCGATCCACGCAATTGGGATTGATGACATGCATCAACCAAGTCAGCGAGCCTGACCACCTGATCCCGTTGGTCGCCTTTTACGACAAGCATAGTCACTTTTTACGGCAAGCATGGGTTGCTGAAGACCTATTCTACCCCGGGATCTTCACGGGTCACATCGCTGATAACATCAACCACTAGTTTTATGAAGACTCGATTGACAGGCCACAGTGCTACATCTCGAATATTGCTGAGTAGTGAGTTAAACAGGAAACAAACAAACAAACAAACAAACAAACAAACAAACAAACAAACAAACAAACAAACATACAAACAAACAAACAATAATTCACACATACAATCTTACAGAAAAGGACCAGAATATTTTTGCATCGGGATTTGGTCGCTAGAATCAATGCTTTGATTGTGTATTGGATGGTTAGCATCAACTGGTAGAATCTCTTCTAGACACGGTGTCTTGTTCAGACAACATCAATCCTTGGTCTCTCTAATATTATCGATTATGGTGTACATCCAATTTAGTCCTTCCTGAAGAGGTCGCCTCCGTGGTCTAGTGGTAGAGCGTCCGCCCGGAGAGCGGAAGGTCCGGGGTTCGATCCCCGGCCGCGTCATACCAAAAGACGTTAAAAGATGGTACTTGTAGTTACCCTGTCTGGCGCTCGGCATTAAGGGGCTAAAACAAGGACTGGTCGGCTCGTAGTCAGTATACTGTGTCTGAGTTGGGTATTCATGTTAAACTGAGGCATGGTGTCTCAGTGAGCTTGCACTATAAATCGGCATCAGTCCGGACTAGTACAAGCAGCCACACAAACACACACACGTACATGCACGTCGCTATATAAGTGCAATAATCTTGGTCGCGACGTTAAACCCCATTTCACCTCACCTCACCTTCCTGAAGAATAGGATATGCTAATAATTTTTAGTATTATGTATGTATTTAAAAGCGATAAAAAAGGATTTCCATAATCATAACAAATATGTACTATTGTACGATTCTGTCTATATCATGAGCATGTGTTTATGAAATAGTGGTGACACCAGCTTTTCGCGAAAAGGTGAACGGTATCCTGCTCCATCGCTGACACCCGTATAAACACACGGAAATGAAAGTCAATTGTTCACCTACAAAACACAGGACCATTGTACAAGTCAAAATAAGGAATTGCATCGGACGTCATTTTTGTCACTGATGAGTCTCCTATGGAAACTCATTCCAAATAGTTATGTCTGTGTTTGTTTCGCTAAGCTTCAGAAACTTCATCTATTCGTCAATCCTTTTATGTATCACGCCATTATCCAAATACTGTATAAGAAGAAGCGATGGCCAAGAACTATCCCTATTTATGTCCTCAGAAAGCCAAAACCAAAGAAAGCTTTGACTGGAATTGGTATTATTCAATCAAATAATCCTCTGTTTGTCTAAGCCTGATGAACCAAAGTCATCGATCAATTTGTGATATAGATACTGATATGTCTGAGATCTCTCTAATGCTGCTCCATAAATTGGGAAAAAAGCATTATGCTGTACCAGAGGCACGGTTAACGCGCTTGTCCTTCTCGGGGGCACGCGTATAATCAGTCATGCAATAACTGTAAGCTTTTTTAGCGTGAAACATTCACGGTTTCAGAGGCCAAAGCGGCGGCAGGGTACACAGAGAGCTAAATTAGCGGAGTCGCGTACGTGAGACACCATCACTGCAGCTTACTAGCACTGAAACAAGAGAAACGCTTCTGTAAAATTAACAGATGTGGCGAAACAATAATGGAACTTCATTGCTGATTGCCTTACGCCGTCGGGTTTAATTTAAATATTTGCCTTCCCGACAAACACGTACGTGCAGTAAACTGCCATTAATTCCGATCACGTTTGATCTCCTACGTTCAGACCTCCTCTATCTGGAATTCCGAGGACTTTTTTGTTGTATATTTTTGTGCAGTACTGGAGTGAGGTCTTAAACCGCGGCCCCATTAATCCTTATGGTTGTTGTTACCAGACTCATAATCCAAATAAGGAGGTCACTTTATCAGATGTACATATAGAATTATGTCATTAGTAGTAGTGGTTTATTTCAGTAGATCAGGCCACAGGCCCATTTTACAATATATATTCAAGCATTCAAACATGTTCGCCACAAGTGCATGTAGTATTATCAATACTAATCAGTACAAGGGTATCTGAGACCATATACATATGATGGTAGAATTAGTAGTTTATATAATGGACAACTGCTTGCTCCTCATTTTAAGAGCAAAGAATGTAAACTTGGCAAGATTATTGATTGTGAAGGCATTACTGGTGGTAAATAAAACTTTACATTTATGCTCTGATGGAGATTTCTAATAATAACTTGGCAGAAAGTTTCTTCTAAGATCGTCATAAAACGGACAAACTAAACAAACATGGTATTCTGTTTCTACATTTGTAATGATACAAAATTGACAAAGTCTTTCACATTTTGGAATACCTAACTTTCTACCCTGTGATACCATATGATCACTGCTCGACGTGCGAAACTGTGAGAGAGTAATCCTAAATGCAGCACAACACTTAAATCATTTTCATATTCATTTGATAGCTTAATTGTTTTATACAAATATAATGAAGATAATTTGATTATGTCATTAGTAATCAGCAGATAGTAGAGTCCTAATGCATATAAGAAACGCAAAAACAAACAAAAGTAACGCTCAGGAGTTACTGTCTGGAGACATCGGGCACCAGCCGCCCGTTTTTGAGTGTGAAAAGCGGGCTCTGGTGGCACAGTCGTGTACGGTATTGAAATTCGCTGTAGAGTGTTGGGTTCCTTATTTCGTGTGGGATCCACTGATCTCGGCGTTGAATCACCAGAGCTGAAAACGTGTGGGATCTAGGGACTTTCCCCCAAAATAAGATGACATGCCGTAATATAACAGATATTCCCCTCTAAGTGTCATCCAACAAAAGCACTTACTGACTTTGGACACTAATGCTAACAATTATCCTCACTGAGTATAACAACATGAAGTGTGACGACACTCTTATGTGAAGTGAATGTTATTGTTGTTCTACATAAATATAGAGCAGGACATGCTTTGCTAATGAATGAGTGGGTATGGTTTTATGCAGCTTTTAGCAATATTCCAGCAATATCACAGCGGGAGACACCATAAATGGGCTTCACGTGATGTACACATGAGAAGAATCGAACCCGGGTCTTCGGCGTGACCAGCAAACCCTTATCCACTGGGCTACCCCACCTGCCCTGTAAGCTAATGCCGCAGTCAAACTGCATATAAGATCAAAAGAAAGACACGTATGTGTAGCTATTTGTAGCTATTAATATATGGAAATATTCACAGGCAGTCTTTTTTCATTCGCTGTTTGAAAACAAGACCGTTTACACATTAAAAATATGGTTTAAAAAATAAAAGCTTTGCCTGGCCATTTTTATAATATAGAATTGATTTTTGTGAGTGGCGAAGATAGGAACGAGCTCGTACAGCGCTACAAATTCATTAATGTCAGTATGATGAGGTCGGCTTGCTCCCACTGGACATGTCAACTTTTTTTTAATTTCGGAAAACGTTTATATTTTGGTTTTGAAATAATCAAATGGGCAAAACAAGTGGAACTTCATGATTACAGGGTCATAACCCGAGACGATTCATCGTTTGTTTGTCCGTCTTTATTTACTTCCACAAGAAAATCTACGTTGGTTAAAGTCTTGCTCATGTTCAGATGTTGATAAACTCTCTGAAAACCACTCATTTTCACTCGTAGGAAGTGAAATAGGGGTGCCTATCTTATAAAACCCTTTAATCAGTAATATTTTATAACCCTTTTGCTTTCATTCATTCATTCATTCATTCATTCATTCATTCATTCATTCGTCACCTTAATCTAGTGGTAGAGCGTCCGCCCGGAGAGGGGGCGGGCCGGGGTTCGATCCCCGCCCGCGTCATACCAAAAGACGGTAAAAGATGGCTCTAGTTGTTACCCTGCCTGGCGCTCGGTATTAAGGGATCGGCTCGAAGTCAGTATGCTGTGTCTGAGTCGGGTATTCATGTTAAACTGAGGCGTGGTATCTCAGTGGGCTAGCACTATGAAGTCGGCATTAGTCTACTAATACAAGCACACACACACACACACACACACACACACACACACACACACACACACACACACGTGCATGCACGTAGCTATTTAATTGCAATAATCTCGAACGAGACGTTAAACCCCATTTCATTCATTCAAATGCGTTCATTATATTAACCTTTTCTGATAGTCAAAAAGGCAACCTTTCGCAAGTTTAAGAACAAAGAATATTTAATGAATATTTCCTTAACCCGTCTTCTCTTCTTTTCAGAGAGCCCCGCCAGTCACAATGCCAAACATCGCCCATTCCAGATGGGCATTCGTACCTGCTTTCAAGCCAAAGGGTGAAAACTCATGTCTGAGACTACACAAATGAAGGAAATTCGAGGTGGATATCTGCCTTTAGACTTGAATAATCACTAAGAACCTTTTACCACTACCCGTCGTACGAGTCTTTCATCTTAGTGAAACCTCAAGTAACCAAGCATTGGATATGGAAAACTCCACAGAAGAACTTCCTTATAACGTTGCCATGTATATATTCGACAATGTCACTGTCGCAGGGCTAGACGATAACCTCACCGCCAACGGTACAGACAATACCGTTGAGAGACGGTATACCAACCACGTCCCGAGATACAATGAAGGTATCATGATTTTCATCTGCCTCATTTTGGGTTCCATGATCTTGGCGACCATTTTGGGAAATGTGTTTGTTCTCACCGCTATTTTGATAGAGAAAAGTTTGCAAGGTGTGTCGAACTATTTGATTCTGTCTCTAGGTGTGACGGATTTGATGGTAGCAGTTCTGGTGATGCCGCTTAGTTTAGTTAATGAGATAAGCATTAACTGGTATCTCGGCGGAGAGGTGTGTGACATGTGGATTTCAATGGACGTGTTGTGTTGTACTGCGTCCATCCTCCATCTCGTGGCGATATCCTTTGACCGGTACTGGGCTGTGTCCAACATAGACTATATTAGAAGACGGTGTGCCAGACAGATTATGCTCATGGTTGTAATTGTGTGGTTTGTCTCCGTGAGTATCTCCATCCCACCTCTGTTTGGTTGGAAAAATAACGTCGATCCAGATGTAACGGGACAATGTATGATAAGCCAGGATCAAGGATATACCATATTTTCTACAGTTGGTGCGTTTTATTGTCCCTTGACTCTCATGCTTGTGCTGAATTTTAAAATTTATAAAGCGGCGAGGTCGAGAATTCGGAAAAAGAAATTCGGAGGACGACCGAGGCCGGCGCCTGTCCCGGTAGTGCAAGTTGAAAATACCGGGAACCCGTCACGGAACTCTTCCGGAAGTGACGTAAGCCAAGATGGCTTCAGTATGTTTAATGGTTCCTGTGTAAATATGAACGAGATCTCGCGGATTGAAAGTACTATTGAAGGTCCAGAGGAGGCCCAAAATGGCAATGGCCTTCAAACAAACAATGGCCTCTTAGGAACCAATGGGAACCTACCCCCAAATTTCGGGCCATCTCTCACAGTGCCTGGGAATGTTTATGTGTTGTCTAAAAACAGATCAAACAATAATAGCAAAAGGGCAAGGAACCGAGAAAAAGACAAACTTCGGAAGGAAAAAATTGAAATGAGGAGGGAAAGGAAGGCGGCTCGGGTATTAGGAATCATCACTGGTGCTTTTGTTGTTTGCTGGTTGCCGTTTTTCATGATTGCTCTAATTGCTCCTTTCTGTAAAGAAAGTTGTACGTTCCCTCCTATCATGATGAGTTTCTTCTTGTGGCTTGGCTATTTTAACAGTTTACTAAACCCGATCATCTACACAATATTTAATCCAAGTTTTCGCACTGCATTCAGAAAAATATTCTTCAGAAAGTTGAGGCTTGTTCAAAGGTGAATACTGTGATTTTTTTACATATTGTTGTTGATGATGTTGAAAAATGGGGCAGTTTCCTGAAGTCAAAAACATCATCACATCGTTTCTGTATCATGCATCAATAATTGTGGTCATTGCATTTACATATGTTATTTTAGAGTACGTGTTCAATCATTCAACGGCTGTTTTAGACCGACCCCTTTGTGGCATCTGATACTGGAAATATTCATGATACGTAAAAAGCAAAAAAAATCTTATAATAAAAAATGCGATCGCAATTCTTTTTCAGAAATACGAACGTATCTGATTATTTCTTCCCACGTGGTTTAAAACATCAATTTGTTTTATTTCATGTAATCAGTTGCCACACTCCTAACTCCGTTGTGCGTTTCAACTCGCTACGATTTTGTGGTTATACATTTCTGTGAATTAGAGATATATTTTGCAATTTCATAAGAACTCATCCTACATATTTCACTCGGGCAAGGCGATAAGAATCCATTCGTGTGATTGACTTCAAGAGGTTTTCCCATTTCCTGTAAATACGTGTCACAATGTAAATGTACAAGCATATGAACTATACCCTTATGTATCACTATAAATCTTATTTTTACTGTAGATTTCTCATTTCAATCAACTGGAAGTTATACTGCGCATGCGTATCACGTCATCGGCAATACATCCCAATCTTCTATTTTCTTGGTGCATACTTTATATATGCAAGGTCGTAACATTTGGATGCATTCTAATGCAAATAAAGTACCATATACTTCAGAAAGGAGTTGTTTGTGATGGCGATTGTTAGAGTTGTTGCTGCCCCATGGCCAGAATGTTAATATATTGAACAAGGTATGGTACATCTTCCCGAGGCAAGGGCGTTAACCCACTATAAAAGTCCAGTTTCCTCCCTTGCCGATATAGGCTGGAATTTCTGAGCTATGTTTGGTATGATCTAACGAGTCTATGCATAGTCCAATCAAACATCTCGTTACGTAATCGACATAGAAATCGTCCTTTGGCAACATGGCGATTGTCGTGCAGATTCCGGTCGATTGCAGGATGTGCAAAACATGTCTTTCGTCAACTGGGCGGCGACATATATTTTCCAAATCTTTTCATGTTTCTTATCAACTTGCTCAAGTGAGTTCATTCCCCTCGCGAGGTAAGACCCGTTTAGAACAATATAGATTTCGATTATCGATGAGATCGTCTTTGCTGAGCGCCGCCATTTTCTTTGAAGTTCATGGAAGTGCTATGAGGTGCGGATTCTAAGTCGTCAATAGGGGGGACATCGAAAGGACATACCTCGTTATAACCACTGGTGGGGCTATGATCGGTTTCATCTCTGTTCGCCTACAGTGCCGATCGCCGTCAGTAAAGCTGCTTTTAGTGAACTTTGCTTACAATGTTCCCCTGACATTTATTGTGGACTAGTCCAAAGTAACATGTATGTTATTATTACTTTCCTCTCTGATGACACACCTGTGATTTTGAAACATGAAACATGTTGTTGTTTATGTACTAGTATTTCCTCTCAACGCCCAGTAGACGAAAGGGGAACTCTATGCGTGAGTTATTATTCCTTTGTAAAGTGAAAAAATAGTCAAACTATTGTTATCCAAATCCCTCCAGCAGCCAATAAGACCAATTATGGCCCTCATTCAACAAGAATAGGAGTTCTTAACTAAGTAAGAGATAAACAAATATTTAGTCGATATTGTGTTTTGATAAGTTAAGAGTGTTGACAAAGAAATGGGTGTGTTCGTAGACAAGCTATTATTATCTATATCTCATTAGCTGCCAGTGAGAAAACCAAGACTGAAACAAACAACAAATTTGCAAATGAAAGACAATAAGATTAACTGACCGAAGAAGATTTACTGCTCAACACGAGTAACATAATATATACATTAATGTAAATGAATGCTTATGTAATCTGATGAATGCTAACCCAAATCATCTGAGTTTGAGAAGTCATAAATTCATTATCATTTTTTAATGTTATGTATACACAAAAACTACAATAATAAACTTATTCCTTGTTTTTTACAATGACGTTGCGTGGGTAAGTTCATTACGGTCAAGGGATGATTGGTTTCTCTAAACCATGAAGTTGTTTTGATAACACTGAAGGCAAAGCGCACTGTAGGCAATAGGAGAAGTTGCCCCATTGTCTAGCCACGAAATTCCAGCCAAGTTCGGCAAGGATCCGAACTGGACTTTCAGTTAATTCCCTTACCTCGGGAAGATGGTTCTGGTTTGTGTACAGGCCGCCGTCGCATGACAAGAGTACTGCTGTGCGGCGTGAAGCAACTTCCTTTTTATGCAAATAGTGTGAGTGGCGGGTGCTACCGGTGGGGCAGGACATGCTTACCCTTTTCGCGAACACCTGGTGTCATCACTGATATTCATTCATATAATTAGACAGCAGACATGTACCTCCAAGCATATATATACACATATAGTTTCATGCACGCAAACATAAATGGACACGCATTTCTACAGGGGCACACAAGTGTACATGCACTCTCAAATGTGTGTGCGCTTGAACTACGCACATAAACAGAAGGCAAGAGTCATTATGGAAGTAATGCACTCATAAACACTTCCACATTAGCACGAGGTAAGCATGCATACACACGACTTCATGTCCAATTTGACGCATGCTGACGTCCAGATTTGCTCATGGACCTACACACCCTTAAACGTACGCATACACATATTTACAAATGCACGCTGAAAGCATGGATACACGTGCGTGCATGGACACGTACACACTTGCAGATAAATAAATGCACGGCCACAATTACTTGTGGACAGGAGGTTAATCATGCATTCATACTCGAACATGCAGCCATAGACACATACAAACATAGGCACATATACAAACACTCATGAACACACCAATGGACACATACATATTCACACTCATATATACACTTATGGACACATGCACAAACACACGTGGACACACATATGGACACATATACTCATGGACACATATATGGACACATATACTTATGGAGACATACATGGACACATACGCTCAAGGACACATACATGGACACTTACACTCAAGGAATCATACATGGACACATACATGGACACTAACACTCATGGACACATACATGGACACTTACACTCATGGACACATACATGGACACTTACACTCATGGACACATACATGGTCACTTACACTCATGGACACATAAATGGACACTTACACTCATGGACACATACATGGACACTTACACTCATGGACACATACATGGTCACTTACACTCATGGACACATACGTGGACACTTACACTCATGGACACATACGTGGACACTTACACTCAAGGACACATACATGGACATATACATGGACACCTACACTCATGGACACATACATGGACACTTACACTCAAGGACACATACATGGACACTTACACTCATGGACATATACATGGACACTTACACTCATGGACACATACATGGACACTTACACTCATGGACACATACATGGACACATACATGGACACTTACACTCATGGACACATACATGGACACTTACACTCATGGACACATACATGGTCACTTACACTCATGGACACATACGTGGACACTTACACTCATGGACACATACGTGGACACTTACACTCAAGGACACATACATGGACATATACATGGACACCTACACTCATGGACACATACATGGACACTTACACTCAAGGACACATACATGGACACTTACACTCATGGACATATACATGGACACTTACACTCATGGACACATACATGGACACTTACACTCATGGACACATACATGGACACATACATGGACACTTACACTCATGGACACATACATGGACACTTACACTCATGGACACATACATGGGCACTTAAACTCATGGAGTCTACATGGACACATACACTCATGGACACATACATGGAGACATACATGGACACATACACTCATGGACACATACATGGACACATACATGGACACTTACACTCATGGACACATACATGGGCACTTACACTCATGGAGACATACATGGACACATACATGGACACTAACACTCATGGACACATACATGGACACTTACACTCAAGGACACATACATGGACACTTACACTCATGGACATATACATGGACACTTACACTCATGGACACATACATGGACACATACATGGACACTTACACTCATAAACACATATATTGACATGCACTCATGAACACACACATGAACATATACAGACATGACACATAAACATACACACATGGACACATACACACATGGGAACATACACACATGGGAACATACACACATGGACACATATACATACACACATGGACACATACACACATGGGAACATACACACATGGACACATATACATACACACATGGACACATATACATACACACATGGACACATATACATATACACATGGACACATACACACATGGAAACATACACACATGGACACATATACATACACACATGGAAACATACACACATGGACACATACATGGACACTTACAGTGACACATTCACACTTGGACACATATACTCATGAACACATGTACTCATGAACACACACATGGACACATACACACATGGACACATATACATACACACATGGACACATACACACATGGGAACATACACACATGGACACATATATATACACACATGGACACATATACATACACACATGGACACATATACATATACACATGGACACATACACACATGGAAACATACACACATGGACACATATACATACACACATGGACACATACACACATGGAAACATACACACATGGACACATACATGGACACTTACAGTGACACATTCACACTTGGACACATATACTCATGAACACATTTACTCATGAACACACTCATGGACACATATACTCATGAACACATCCACTGACACATACATGGACATATACACACATGGACACATATACACATGGACACATGCACTCATGGACAAATGCACAACTGGACACATATACATACACACATGGACACATACACACATGGACACATACACACATGGACACATATACTCATGAACACATACATGGACACATACACAAATGGACACATATACATACACACATGGACACATACACACACACATGGACACATACACACATGGAAACATACACACATGGAAACATACACACATGGACACATGCACTCATGGACACATACAGAAATGAACACATATACATACACACATGGACACATACACACATTGACACATACACACACACATGGACACATACACACATGGAAACATACACACATGGAAACATACACACATGGACACACACACACACACATGGACACATACACACATGGAAACATACACACATGGAAACCTACACACATGGACACATACACACACACATGGACACATACACAAATGAACACATATACATACACACATGGACACATACACACATGGACACATGGACACATACACACATGGACACATACACACACACATGGACACATACACACATGGAAACATACACACATGGAAACATACACACATGGACACATGCACTCATGGACACATTTACAAATGAACACATATACATACACACATGGACACATACACACATGGACACATATACTCATGAACACATACACAAATGAACACATATACATACACACATGGACACATACACACATGGACACATACACACATGGACACATATACTCATGAACACATACATGGACACATACACAAATGGACACATATACAT